CTTCTCAAGAACCTTTCACAACGTCTATTTCTGTATCCAATAGCTACTTCACAAACTCAACCTGATGATTCTTTCAGTTTTGAGGACTTCCAAAACCTCCTTGCTAGACCGTATATAAATTCAAATTTCCTTACACAATCCAATGATGGCCTCAATGAATTCTATCAAGCCCATCATTCAATGATGCCGAAGCTATCGGACAAACGGCGGTGGGTCAACTATTCCCTTACACTGAAGACCCTCATTTTCTGAACTCCTTGCCATTGAATCTAATCCGCGAGAAAGGTATTCGCACTTGGCCAAAAATTGATCATAGTTTTCGTAGATGGCATGCACATATGGTAAATCATAGTCCCACCAAAGCAATTTTTGATCGTGCTAAGATTTTGAACCTATTAGAAATTACCTTTTTTCCCCTAACTTATAACCCGTACCTTTTCCAATTGCGCTGAGTTTCTGGTCTTCCAAGTATAACACTTTTGTTTTCCCTCTGGCCCAATGTCTATTATTCTAAGGGATATTGGGGACTTATTGAACCTTCCGCTCTCTGGTGATACCATTTTTTCTAGCATTTTGATTTCCAATGTTGCTCCAAAGTTTGACAAGAAAGTTGTTGAATCGTACTCGAACATACAAGGCCTTTATACTGCTTCCCATTCAGAACCCACTCATGCTGAGCCTGTAGCCTTCCTTCAAGTCTGGATGTGTAAATACCTTCTTTGTGTCCCTAACCTGAAACCCTCTGTGAGTTATCTGCCACTATCGCATGAATTAGCACGTGGTAGGTCTTTGAATTTGTGTTCATTCTTTTTAGCCACCTTTTATGAGGTATGGCTTCCCTTCGATTTCAGTTAAGGAGTGGTGCATCTCCTACTGGTAGTAGGCCTCTTTGCCTTGCTCAATTGTGGTTAAGAGCTTCTTTCCCACAGCTTGGTGCTCCTCCAACTCTTCCCTGAACAGTCAGCTGCTATGGGCTATTCATTTATCAGTTGAGCCCCGTAAATATGTCCAGCAAAGACCTTTTTACATTCGTTTATACTTTGAATTCAACGTCTTCTTTCTTCACCAAATTGGTCTTCTTGCGCAACCATTCCAACTATTGATTCTTGTTAAGTCGATATATACACTTTCATTTACCATAATTGGATTGGTGACACCAACATTGGTGGATTTGATAAATATGTTTTTAGGCATTCAAAAGCCTTTTGATACTCTTTTTTCCAGACGAATTCGTCTTGATTTTTCAGTTTTAAAAGAGGTGAAAAAGCTTTACTTCACCCTCTTGATGAAGCATCTGGCTGACGAATGTTGGGCGATCTTCCCCTTCTCAACATTCAGTATAATCAGAAAGTCTTGCGTTTGAGCATATCTAGTCTTGGTGATCTTCATTACTTCATCGTCCATGTCCCTTATAGGCACTTCTTCTTCTTCTTCTTCTTCTTCTAAACAATCCACCTTGTTAACTTCTCGACTAATACTTTGTTCCAATTCGAACACTGAAAAAATAAAATAAAATCGAAGTGGACAGGCTTTTCTGAATAGACCTACACCAAAAAAAAGCCACTTTGATTCCATGATTCTCTTGTGGACAAGTTAAAAAGACAATTGTGCTGAACTTGCATTACATGGACTAAAAAACTATTGTATGCATTTTGTAATTCTTTAAAAAAAAAAAAAAAGGATGAAAGCTTTTGAATAAGCACCAGAATCATTTATCTTTATCAAAGAGTCAAAGAATCTTGTATAATTTTGCACAAAACATGACTATGTCCCTAGTTTTGCGACGAAACGAGATTTGGAGTTCAGGTTTCGTCGAACCAAATTAGATGATGGTGTGGTGGGAAGTGGGGGTGGCTGGTGATCGGTGGATGGGTGGTGGCTATAGGGTGTGTGGGTTAGGGGTGTCCAAAAGTCTAGAACCGAACCCGAATCGAGTCGAACCGAGTATTTCTTCATAAATTAAATACCCAAACGGGTACCCG